CAGCAGATGGAAGACCTCTCTGCCTCTCCTTATATGTGTAACTCTTTCAAATAAATAAATGAATCTTAAAAAAAAAAAAAAAAAAAAAAAAAAAAAATGCTACCAGGGGGGCCGGCACTGTGGCTTAGTGGGTAAAGCTGCCACTTGCAGTGCCAGCATCCCATACAGGCACCAGTTCAAGTCCCAGTTGCCTCTCTTCCAGTCCAGCTCTCTGCTATGGCCCAGGAAGGCAGTGGAGGATGGCCCAGGTCCTCGGGCCCTGCACCCGCATGGGAGACCAGGAGAAGCGCCTGGCTCATGGCTTCGGATCAGCATGGTGCACCGGCCACAGCGGCCATTGGACGGTGAACCAACGGTAAAGGAAGACCTTTCTCTCTTTCTCACTGTCCACTCTGCCTGTCAAAAATAAAAAATAATGGCCGGCGCCGCGGCTCACTAGGCTAATCCTCCGCCTAGCGGCGCCGGCACACCGGGTTCTAGTCCCGGTCGGGGCGCCGGATTCTGTCCCGGTTGCCCCTCTTCCAGGCCAGCCCTCTGCTGTGGCCAGGGAGTGCAGTGGAGGATGGCCCAGGTGCTTGGGCCCTGCACCCCATGGGAGACCAGGAAAAGCACCTGGCTCCTGGCTCCTGCCATCGGATCAGCGCGGTGCGCCGGCCGCAGCGCGCCAGCCGCGGCAGCCATTGGAGGGTGAACCAACGGCAAAAGGAAGACCTTTCTCTCTGTCTCTCTCTCTCTCACTGTCCACTCTGCCTGTCAAAAACAAAAAAAAAAAAAAATAAATAAAAAATAAGAAAGGAAGTAAAATGCTTCCTTAAAAAAAAAAAAAAAAGGTGCTATGGGGTGGGGTGGAGGGGTGTGGTGCTGTGGCACAGCAGGTTGAACCTCCACCTTCAGTGCTGGCATCCCATGTGGGCAGCAGTTTGTGTCCTAGCTACTCCACTTCTGATCCAGCTCCCTGACAATGGCTTGGAAAAGCAGTGGAAAATGGCCCAAATGCTTGGGCCCCCATACAAACATGGGAGAACTGGGAGAAGCTCCTAGCTCCTGGCTTTGGATAGGCCCAGCTCTAACCATTGAGGCTACTTGGGGAGTGAATCAGCAGATGAAAGACCTCTCTCTCTCTGTCATTCTGCCTCTCAAATAAATAATCTTAAAAAGGAAGGGGGGGGTGGTGGTTGACCACTGCCTGCAGTGCCGGCGTCCCATGTGAGCACCAGTTAAGGTCCCTATCTGCTCCTCTTCCAATCTGGCTCTCTGCTGTGGCCTGGGAAAGCAGTGGAGGATGGTTCTGGTGCTTGGTTCCCTGCACCCATGTTGCAGACCCAGAAGAAGATCCTGGGTCTTGGCTTAGGACCAGCCCAGCTCCAGCTGTTGTGACTATTTGAGGAGTGAGCCAGCAGATGACAGTCCTTTCTGTCTCTTCCCCTCTCTCTCTCTGTGGCTCTACCTCTCAAATAGATAAATATTTTAAAAAAAGATATGAGTTGTAACACTTGCATCTCATATCAGTGTCTAGGTTCAAGTCCCAGCTCCTCTTCTGATTCCAGCTTCATGCTAACGTGTACCCAAGAAGGCAGCAGTGATTAGCTCAATTATGTGGGTTCCTGCTACCCATGTAGAGACACGGACGGAGTTCCCAGCTCCTGGCTTCAGCCCTGTACAGCTCTAGCTGTTATGGGCACATGGAGAGTAAATCACCAGATGGAAGATGGATCAGTCAATCAATCAATCTCCCCCCCACCCACCTACCTCTCATCCTCCCTTCAAATAAAATGAAAATAAAAATTTTAAAAATATAACAAGATGAAAACTTTAAAGTCAGAGTATTAAGTCAAAAAGTAACAGTAGTTATCTCTGGGGACTGTGATTAACAAGATTTCAAGGGTTTGTATTTGAGTATTTACAGTGATCATATAGCTTGATCAAATAAAAATAAAACCTGCAAACTCGAGTTAGGAAAATTGCCGCGTGGTGACAGTTCCCAGGCGAGCACGTCTCACGAACCTGACTCAGCAAACCACTGCAGAGCATTTCCAGAGCGCCCTGAGCTTTCACAAACGCCTCCAAGTTACAAACGAAACTGCTACCCTAGTCTCGCCACGCCGAGTGCGCACTTTCGCTGTGTTCTGGAGCACAAGGAACTAACACATGAAGACTAACAACAAATGCGTGAGTGCAGGGTAACAGGGCAAGTCTGGAGTACTCACGTGATCAAAGAAATGCACCACCGCAAGCTTTTTGCTGCGCCTGGTATAGATGCGCTGCACCTTCGCGATTTTGCCGAAGTGGTTCTCCAGAATAGTTCTGTCGTTGAGATAGTCAGGGATGTTCTTGCACTGGATTGCTGTGACTTCCGTGGGAGACAAGCCTCCGAGACTGTCCACGCTCTCGCTCCTTTTACTCTGCCTCACGGGAGTTCCTCTTAGAGAATCTACAGGTTCAGAGAATGGACATAGAAACCCATCGTACAGAATGCTTTCAAACGACAGAGAGCACCAACACCCAAAAGGAATGTTCAGGGATCTAAGATCTGGTTAAAAGTCCTGTGTTAGAATTCCTAATGTTTACAGGAAATACATCTGAAAACTCAAGCTACCGTCCAGGGAACCCAAAGGAAACCTGCCAGCAGGATGCACTCTGGGTTGCACATTCGCAGAGCTCACCTTCTTTTTTATCTCTGCTTTCGGTTTCTTCCTCTTTATTCACCCCTGGAAGCCGGGAAGGTGCCAGGACAGACTGACTCCCTCCTGGGATGGCCATGTGGTCACTTTCCCCAGCCTCCAGGAAGCCAGCTTCCTTCTTAGATTCCTTGTTTCCCAGACGACCTGCTTCTTTATTGCTTTTGAAGACATCCTGTATCGTCCGACCAAACAGAGTGCCTCCCCGGGGTCGATTCAGGCGGACGGGCCGTTTATCTGGAGGATGGTCGCCCCGGGACAGAGGATCCCAGTCTTCTATTGTCTCATGGCCATGCCTCCTCGGAGAGCGATCCTGGTCCTCCTTCCTTTTCAGTCCTTTCATGAGGCTGGGAAGTGGCTCCACCTGGGAAACGGCTTCCTCGCACCCTTGTCTGACACCTGTTTTACTTACTGGGAAGGACTCGCCCCCAGACACAGAGGACATGGGGAAGCTGCTGAAGCTGCTATTACAACTTCCAAATCCTGACTTCGAGCCTCTCTTCTCTTCCTCTGCATTTTGGCCAGACAATGCAGGGGCAAAGGCAGATGATGAATTATTGGTATTAACTGGTTTTGAAAAGGTAAAATTTGAATTGGTAGTTGAACTACTGGTCACAGGAGGAAACGAAAAAGGGGCCAGGCCCCCAGGTCCACTACTAATTGGGTGGGAAAATGTGAAAAATCCAGAAGTAATCTGGCTCTGGGTTTTCTCTGGCTCAGACTCATTTGCCAGTATTGGTCTGAAGACTGCATTTTCCAGAGGTTTAAAGGTGAACTCTGTTTTTCCAAAACCAGAGCCAGGTAATTCTCCACCTTCTGGTCCAAAAGTAGAAGTACTTGGGAAAACCTCAAGGTTAGTTGATGATTTAAAGCTAAATCCTGGGTTTGCAGGTACAGATGAACTTGAAGGCCCAGAAGTAGCTGCAAAGGTAGGAGTGTGTTCAAGTCCAGAAAAGAGTCCAGCACTGGAAGTCTGGGCAAATCCTAACGTTTGCACTGAAGAGGAATGGCTTACTCCAGAAGCCGCGGGGAAGCTGGATGCCTGTGAAAATCCTGAGTTCTTCCCAGACAATGTGTTGTTTTGCCCAAAAAGAGAAGGCTGGCCAAATCGAAACGGTGGCTTAGCCTGAAATGTTCCTATGGAACCACTAGCAGAGGTTGGAAAAGCACTAGGTTGCTGCCCACTGAAAGGATTTGGTGGGTTCATCTTCCGATTAAATTGTTTAAAGGTAAACAAAAAACTATGTACAAAATTAGCCCTCTTCCTCAGCAGGAAACTGCCCTCTATCTTCAGGATGAGCTGAGAGACAAAAATTCAGACCGTCACAGCTATGTCCTATTAGAAGAGTAAGAAAGGGATTTTTAGTCATGTCATTGACTGTTGAAGAGAATGGTTCAAATAAATTCCTGTTACATGATCCTTTAAGATTAAAAAAATTTCAAATCTCCAGCTCTCTGTTATGGCCTGGGAAAGCAGCAGAAGATGGCCCAAATCCTTGGACTCCGGCTGGAAGAGGCTCCTGGCTCCTGGCCCAGCTCAAGCCCTTGCGGCCATCTGGGGAGCGAACCAGCAGATGGGAGACATCTCTCTGCCTCTAACTCTGCCTTTCAAATAAATAATAAATAAACCTTTTTAAAATTTTCCAAATAGTTTTACTTGGCTGGTAAATTCATGAAGAACCTCAACTGGCGATAAGAAGATGAACACCATTACCTACCGCTTTTCATCTGCAGAGGGGAACTTCTGACATTTCCCAGTCTGCGTAGCTGAGGATTACAATGTAACACCGTTAAAACATCAGTGTTTCAATGTTTCCTCCCATCTAATTTCTCTCCGAGCAGCCAGAGCACCGAATACTTCTTCCAGGGTTTCTTTCCCCCACCCTGGCGACCACCCCAGGAAATGGCTCCACCGGCCAAAGCACTCACCCGGGGGTGCGGGCCCCGCGCTGGGAGACGCCTCCTCGGCCCTCACGCCCCGAAAACACTAGCAGGCCGCTACCGGTCGGCGGGAGGCAGCGCCCTCGGGCCCAGACCGGCCGCCGGGCGTCTCCCCGGGGTTCGCAGCGCCGCCCTCCCCGGAGCGGGCCCCCAACCCCCGGCTCGCCGCGGGGCCCTCCCGGCTCGGCGGCGCTCCCACCCCTGGCTCGGCGAGCGGCGCGCTCCCGCTCGCCCGCCGCCGCAGGACTCCCAGGCCCGCCCCGCGCGGCGCCCCCGCAGCCCCGGCTGAAGGCGCAGGCGCAGGCGCGGCCGCCCCAGCCCGCGCTTCCCCGAGCGGCGGGCAGGAATCGCGCGGACCGACTTCCGGTCCGCGCGGGGCGGGCCCGGGCTTGGCGCGCTGCGCTCGCGTTCCGCTCTGCGGGCCGCCGGCCGCAGCCTCAGCCCCCGGTGCGAGCGCGGGCGCGGTCTCTCCCCGCCGGAGGGCAGCCTGTCGGGCAGCCCCGGCCCTCCGCGCCCCCTGCCCGCACTGCCACCGCGCACCTCGCCCTCCGGGGCCTGCCCGGCGCTCGCTGCGGCCTCAGGACGCTGACATTTTCCCGGCGGTGCACGCCAGCCCCCTCAGGTTCCCTGTCCGGTCCGCCCGGTCGGCGGGCGCTGCGTGCGCGCGCGGGCCGGCGGCTCCGGGATGAGCCTGGTGGTGCGGAACCTGCAGCGAGCCGTGCCGCTGAGGAGGGCGCCGCTCCGCGGCAGGCTCGAGGCCGTGAGGAAGATCCTCGGGGTGCAGACCTTTGACCTGGGCGTCGTCTGCGTGGACAACCGGAGCATTCAGCGCATCAACCGAGTCTACAGAGGGAAGAACGCCCCGACCGACGTGCTCTCGTTCCCGTTCCACGAGGTAGAAGACGGGTCGCGCTCTCGTCTCCCTGCTCTCCGAGTCGGTATTCATTTGGGGCGGGGTTTCTTATTTCCGTTAGCAAAGCTTTCGCAGCTGGAGCGAGCGCCCCTCCCGCGCGGCCGGCTCACCTGCGCCCACGCCCCGCTCCGGCCTCTGGCGCCCGCAGCGCGGCTGAGACGCGGAGGGCGCTGCGCTAAAGCCTGACTCAATAATGAATAGTGTTGGACTCGGAAAATTAAAATAACGCTGAAAAAATGAAAGACGGTGTATTTTCAGCCGGAAACTCGGTGGCTGCAGATTACTGTTTATGTAAATGACTTCAGCAGCAGCATAAACTGGAGCAACCTCTGGGAAAGCAACTTGAAAGGCAGAGTTTCCGAGAGCGAGAGCGAGAGGAGAGAAAAGAGGAGAAAGAGAGAGAGGTCTTACATCCGATGGCTCACTCCCCAGTTGGCCGCAGCGGCCATTGGAGGGTGAACCAACGGCAAAAGGAAGACCTTTCTCTCTCTCTCTCTCTCTCTCTCTCTCTCTCACTCTCACTCTCACTCTCTCACTGTCCACTCTGCACTCTGCCTGTCAAAAAAAAAAGATTATGTAGGGGTCGGCGCTGTGGCTAGCTGCTAAAGCCGCTGCCTGTGGTGCTGCGATCCCATAGGAGTCCTGGCTGCTCCACTTTCGATCCAGCTCTCTGCCTCTGCCTCTCTCTAACTCTGTTTCAAATAAATAAAATAATTTTGTTTGACAGGCAGAGTGGACAGAGAGAGAGAGAGAAAGGTCTTCCTTTTCCGCTGGTTCACCCCGCATTGGCCCCTCCAGCAGCGCCCTGCGGCCGGTGCACCACACCGATCGGAAGCCATGAGCCAGGTGCTTCTCCTGGTCTCCCATGCAGGTGCAGGGCCCAAGGACCTGGGCCATCCTCCACTGCACTCCCGGACCACAGCAGAGAGCTGGACTGGAAGAGGAGCAACCGGGACAGAATCCGGCGCCCCGACCGGAACTAGAACCCAGGGTGCCCGGCCGCAGGCGGAGGATTAGTTTAGTGAACCACCGCACCGGCCAAATAAATCTTCTAAGAAAAAGATTATTTGGGGCTGGCGCTGTGACGCAGCGGGTTAACGCCCTGGCCTGAAGCGCCCACATCCCATATGGGCACTGGTTCGAGACCCAGCTGCTCCACTTCCAATCCACCTCTTTGCGATGGCCTGGGAAAGCAGTGGAAGATGGCCCAAGTCCTTGCACCCATGTGGGACACCCGGAGGAAGTTCCTGGCTCCTGGCTTGGGATCGGCACAGCTCCAGCTGTTGTGGCCAACTGGAGAGTGAACCATCGATGGAAGACCTCTCTCTCTCTTTGTGTAACTCTAACTTTCAAATAAATAAATCTTTAACAAAAAGATTATGTACTTTTAATCACACCTGAGGAAATAAAAGAAAATAAAATTTTAAAAGCATAGCATATAAATGTGTCAATTACTGTTTTCCATAATAGGAAAAAAAATACAAGCCATAGATGACTGTCTTAGCATGACAGCTCTAAACCAAGGCTTTGTGTGGAGAATGCAACAAAGCACTGTTTAGCATAAAATGCTAAGTGCAAAGAAGAAAAATACCAAAATGCCTGTCTGATGATGTAACTCTAGAAGTTGTAGATTTGTGTGATTCAGAATTGGGAGGGATGAAAGAAATGGAGAGGGCCTCATCTGGCCAGGTGGAAGCATTCCCAGTCGCTCTGTCTAGTGGCTGTGCTATCGCTCACCACAGGTCCACCCTGGGCCCGGACGTCGGGCACGCAGCTAGAGCTGTGTGGTCTGAGAGCCCACTGCCAGCAGGGTTTTCCAGGTGAATCCTGTGGCTGGTCTGAGGCTATCTTCTCCAATCTGTGTTTCTCATTTTTAGAATCTGAAAGCAGGTGAATTCCCCCAGCCTGATTCTCCAGATGACTATAACTTGGGGGACATTTTCCTGGGAGTGGAGTACATTTTCCAGCAGTGCAAAGACAAAGAAGATTACTATGACGCCCTGGCTGTAAGTGGGGATGCAGGAGTCGCGTGTCCTAACGAAATGGACCATGTAAAGGTGCTAGGACATGACCCCTATGGCCTCACTGTCACCACAGGTACCGCAGGATTACAGGGGGAAGCCACAGCAGAGAGAAGGGGGTAACTAGGCCAGGTGGGGTCTGTGTGCCCTGTGCCAGGTCAGGTGAAAAAGAGAGAGAGGACACAGCTGCGGAAACACGGAAGCTCCCAAGGAAGTCTTTTCAGTTTTTATTCCTAGAGGGCAGCAAATTGACTTCTTGGCCAAAGCGGATGATTTAAACCCCCAGTACCTTCCAGATTTATCTCCCCTCAGCTTAATGGAAAAAGTGTTCTGAAAAGTGATATTTAGCCCATAGATCCCTATGGGATCATCCCATGAGCTGTTTGATTTTCTGACAGGTGACTGCTACCCATGGATTGTGCCACCTGCTGGGCTTCACACATAGCACAGAGGCTGAGTGGCGGAAGGTAGGAGCATGGCCTCCCAGCCTGTGCGAGGTGGGCATCTGTGTTGGGCAGGAGCTGACCGCCAGGTTCCCTATAGCTGGAATGAACGGGTGATAGACTCTTGTGCCCACATGTGAAAGGGGCTTCTTAGGGGAATTGGACCCCACATTATGACAGCTGAGAACTCACCACTCCACAGGCCATGAGCTGAGACCCAGGGATGCCAGCAGCATGGCTTAGTCCAAGTCTGAAAGCTTTTGAACTGGCAAGGGAACCACTGGTTCCGTCCAGAAGGATGGAGAGAAGGCGTTCTGATGTCCAAGGCAAGAGAGGCGTGGGTCCCAGCTCTCAGGAGAGAGCTCCAGGGCTGCCAGGTGATTGACAGAACAGCCCACATGGAGTCCAGGCCCTCACATGTGATCCACTAATTTCAGCAGACTCACCTCTAAAACACTCACAGACACACCCCAAATCAGGCCATCACCAGGCCACCCCATCTCACCTTTTATAAAATAAATTAAAAAAATAAGACCCACACCTGCCACGCCAGCTCAGCTCCCTTCAGCCCCAGATGCTGACCCGATGTCTCCTTCTCACCCCACTGCCCACATGCCATGGATCACCCAAAGCCCTTCTCCCTCAAGCCTTTCCACTTTTCCTGGGCCACGCCTCCCTGCTCCTCTGACCCCTCCCATAGCCCCTCCCCCACTCCACCATCCCTACTGCCATTTTCTCTGCCTACCTGGAGCTTTGCTGGCTGATAGGCACAAGTGCTTGTATAAGTAGGTAGAACTAGGTTCCACTCTTTGGCCTGGGCAGGATCCACTAGGCCCAGGATTCTCCAGGCCACACTCTGGACACGGGCTACAAGGAGCAGCCCTTGGGCAAGGTCAGGGACACCAGGCGGGTAGGGAGCTGGCAGCCAGCATCCCTTCCTAGAGGGCAGTGCTCTCCAACCCTTTATTTCAGATGTACCAGAAGGAGGAGCAGGTGCTGCAGGAGCTGAGCCGGCGCATGGGGACGCAGCTCCAACCGCTGAGCAGAGACCTCTTCTGATGACTCCTTCCCAGACTGCCGCTGTCCTGCCTGGCTTCGGGCAGGTATCATGAGGGGAACTTGACTTGGAGCCCAAGAGAAATTGACATTCATTTCTTGGTTTTGAACACTGCAGATTAGTGTCATTGTTGTAAATAAAATGATTCTGAGCCCCCAGGTTTGAAGAAGTACAAAATCCACACCCCTCCTGAGAGTTCTGCAGACCTCAGCGGATTGCATTTCCTCCTCTACCTGTGTGGCGGCTCAGGAAAAATTGAGCCACTGGAGGTCAGTGAGGGTCATGAACCCTGCCTGGACCCAGCTCCCCAACCTGACCTTCAGACTGATCACCTCTTGGAAAGGAGGGAGCAGGCCAAGGAGACAGCCCCTGCAGCAGGGAATCCACTGTGTCTGACCCATGGCCAGCATCGGAGATGCAAGAATGTCTCCTGCCCTCTCATCTCTCATGAGAAGGGCGCCCTGGTTGTGAACTTGTATCCTGGTTTGGCCATGGCCTTGACATGTTCCCCAAGAACAAGGTGGCAGCAAACAGCAGGTCTGTGGTGAGCAGTCTGCTCTGTGCCTCATGGCCGCTTTGGGGGTACTCCTGTCACCACCACTGTGCTGTATCATTGTGTAGAGGCATGGCATGGAGCTCTCACTGCCACACCCCAGTCCCTAGCAGCATTACCTGCTGCAAGTGTGGGACGCTTAAGCCATTGCACACTATCAGTGCCAGGCATCCGCATTCGCTGATGACGATGTAGGGGGCCACTCCTCTGAGTGAGGTAGTGATAAAACAACCCCTAACAGACTCTTCCTCATCCTAAAGCCAATGATACTGTGACCATTTCTCATATCAAGTGGTTCCTGCTGGGGGTGTGCCCTGTTTTAGCCTGGACTTCCTCTCTGGCTCTCAGGAGCACCCTCGGGTCTGTGACACATCTCGTCCTATTGCCCGTGCCTAACCTGCTCCAGCTGGCCAAGAGTGTCCTTCAGCTAATGTCTAATACAGCAAAGATCACTGGACGTAACCCTAACAGAAGCTCTGGATCCACAGTCCCTTGTGATAGAAGGGTCCTAAGACCTTCTGGTTGTGTCTGACACGCCTCTGTCCACATCCTGGCACACTCCCAAGCTTCAAAGCAGAGTTCCAGGGGGACTCGGGGCTCAGAACCCAAAGGCTTCTGGGAGTCTGCGGCACTCCACCCTGGGTGTGTCCCAGACCCTCTGCTGGACTTCAGCCCTGGGGTATGCACAGCTCCTTGCCTCTGCCTCTGTCCCCTACCTGTTTCCTCTATTGTCCTCTTGATTTGGTATTTTTTTTATTGGAAGATACCCTGAAAGCAAGTGTGCTGACCTAAGTGAGAAGAGGCTGCCCCACAGTCAGGTCAGCAGCTGCATCACCTGTCCCTGGCATGGGGCTGTGACAAGGCTGTTCCATGGCAGCCACTCTGCCCCAAGTGGGGGGCACGTCCTCTACTATCCTGCTCCAGCAGGCAGTGGGCTCCTGGGCCCTTCACTCTTCTCTGTTTTCCAGATTCAGTTCCTCCAGGGCCACAGGGAGCCAGAGTCTTGGTGAGCATCTCATTAACGCAGCATCAGGGGCCATATGCAGGCTCAGCCCATGTTGTATGGGTCATCTTCAGTGTCTCAGTGGACGCATCACATCACCAGGTATACAGCTATACACAGTGCGCCCCAAGGCCCAGCAAGAGGAGCCCCTACCCATCACACCTGCAGGCAGTGGGGTGCAGCCATGAGAAGCCCTGTGTCCAACCACCAGGCTGCAGATATTCAGCCACCAGAGAGCCTGCCCAGGCAGCTGCACGCTCAGCAGAGCCTGCTCAGACTCTTCAGCCGCCAATGGTAGACAGTGGGGATGGAGTATAGGAGGTGGGTTCACCCTCTGTCCTCTTCAGGTATGACCCCACCCCCACCACAGGTCAGCCCTGTGACAGTATCATCCTAGTTCTCACAGAACCTCCACATCTTAGAACCTGGAATGATACACATCTCCTTCACCCCAAACCTGGTGAGGCCAGACCAGCCAAAGGCAAGTTTTGTCAAATTACTTCTCCCCGTGTTGATAAATGAACCAAAAAGAATCCATGTCAGAAAAAGTCGCATGAGATTTCAGCTTCCTGTTACTTCAGACCCTGGAAGGCAGCAGGTGATGGCTCAAGCAGTTTGGTTCCTGCCACTGATGCGGGAGACCCAGACTGAGTTCCCAGCTGCTGACTCCAGACCAGTCTCAGCCCCAGATGTCGCAGGAATCTGGGGTATGAACCAGCATATGGGAGATCGTCCTGTCTCTCTCTCTCCCTTCCTGTCTACTGCCTTTCAAATATTTTTTTAAAAAAGCATGAAATAGGTCAGGCTTTTTTGAATTTTTAGATTTATTTAAAAGAGTGACAGAGAGGAAGAAACAGAGATGTTCAGAGGCTTTTAATTAGTGCTTTTAACGAGCACAGAATCTCAGAAATCACATTAAAAATAAGCCAAAGGCCACTGGGAGAGGCAGAGGTCACTGCCTGTAGTTCCACTGAGGCTGCACAGCACTCAGTCCTGTCTGTCCATGTCGGATCTCCTGGCTCTGGGCACTGGGAAGCTCGCCTGAGCGCCCACAGGCAACTAAGTAGCAGCCTCTTGGACACCATCCTGTCTTCTCCCTGGGAGGTTCCCAGGATACAAAGAGGGACAGGTTCCTGCTTGTGAGGGGCTCAGGGAGTGAAATCGATTACCCTAAAAGGAAGCCAAGAATGAAAATGTAAACTTAACACTTAAAGATAATGTTTAAAGAAATGCAACACTAAAAACAAAGGAAATATAATTCTACCAATAACAAATAGGGAGGAGCGAAGGGAGTATCACAGGCCCGTGGAGCGAGTGGACCAGAGAAGCCCCTTCTCAGCTCTGGCAGGAACTGCTTCTCTGTAGCTTGCACTCCACTTCCAGGAGAAAGCTCCCCCTGCCGGCATGTGGGTCCACACCATGTGCATAGTGTACTCTGTGTACACACACACACACACACAGAGTTCCAGTGATGTGCAGATCAATGACAGGCAGTGAATGAGTAGGGGTGCAGTGAGATTACACAGAGCTGGAAAAGTCCCATTAACCACATGTGCTTGGGTTTAACATTCTATATTGGTCTGAGAGGCAGGCAGCATAACAGCTAGGATCTGGGGACCCGATACAAATCTCCATGTAGGTACAGGGAGCCAGCTACGTGAGCCGTCATCTGCCGCCCCCAGGATGCGCATTAGTAGGAAATTGGAGTCAGGAGCCAAAGTCAAGCATTAGATCCAGGCACTCTGATGTGGGAGGTGGGAGCAGTTAGAGTTTGGGGAACTCTATTCAGATCTAATTGTTGTACTCTTTTCCTAAGATCGATTTAGTTATATGAAAGGCAGAGAGACAGAGACAGAGGTTTTTCATCTGGTTCACACTCTGAATGGTCACAAAAGCCAGGGCTGGGCCAGGCTGAAGCCAGGAGCTCCATACAGGTCTATCTGGGAGTCTTGACCAGCATCTTAGCCACTAGGCTGAATGCCCACCTCTGTGTTTGTGTTTTTTAAAGATTTATTTATTTTTTTGAAAGTCAGAGTTACACAGAGAGAGGAGAGGCAGAGAGAGGTCTTCCATCCACTGGTTCACTCCCCAAGTGACCACAACAGCCGGAGCTGGGTGGATCCGAAGCCAAGAGCCAGGAGCTTCTTCAGGGTCTCCCACGTGGGTGCAGGGGCCCAAGGACTTGGGCCATCTTCTACTGCTCTCCCAGGCCATAGCAAAGAGCTGGATCAGAAGTGGAGCAGCCGGGTCTTGGACTGGCACCCACATGGGATGCCGGAGCTTCAGGCCAGGGCATTAACCCACTGTGCCATAGCGCCGGCCCTTGTGTTTGTGTTTTAAGCTATTATTTATTTTTTAAGTATTATTTTTTAAAAGGATTTATTTATTTTATTTGAAATGCAGAGTTACAGAGAAGCAGAGGCAGAGAGAGTTCTTCCATTCGCTGGTCCACTCCCCAGATGGCAACAACAGCCGGAGCTATGCCGATCCAAAGCCAAGAGCCAGGAGCTTCTGGGTCTCCCACGTGGGTGCAGGAGCCCAAGGACTTGGGCTGTCTTCCACTGCTTTCCCAGGACATAGCAGAGAGCCAGATCAGAAGTAGAACATCCAGGACTCGAGCCGGCACCCATGTGGGATGCTAGCACTGCAGGCAGCGGCTTTACCTGCTACGCCACAGCCCTGGCCCCTAAGCTAATTATTATTACAAGAATCAAAAGTTTTTGAAAGTCTTAAAGGGAGAGAAGTTAAAGTAGGCTAAGGTTACTTTACTGAAGAGAGAAAAGGTTACTTGTAGAAATGGTACAGTGTGAGAACACGACCTTGAGGTCTGCAGCAGGCCTCCACGTTCAAGCACAGCGCACACACTAGGGTTTGCCACCCAGAAGCCTTGACCTGTTCCTTGTAGGCCGGGTGCACAGAAGGCTGCACTGTAAGGGTCTGCATCACAGCTAACTGTGTGATGTCCATGCGATGAAAAACTGCCAAGGCCTTCCTCAAAACACATTGCCTCCACTAAGGGTACGTGACTGTATACGTTGTGTCCTCAGAGTCACATTGTACACATGTTCTTTGGTTTTTCTCACTTCAACACGAGGAGCCCATTCCATGCGTATGGTGAGCGAGTGTTCCCAGTGATCCCGTATGACTTTGCTCAGGGTGTCCCAAGGGAACATCCACAGCTGCTACCTTTGCTGCGAGGCTTCCAATCCAGGAGTTCTTCAACTCATTCCTAATGAAGCCCTTGTACTTGGCAGAGCTGCCAGTCCTGTGATGTGCTTTAGGCTGGCTTCCTGACCATGCCCGTGGAGGGCAGCAAAGGTGGAAGACCCTGCTGCTCACCAGTACCAGTGAGACACACCTGGAGGAAAGGCAAGGGTGCCTGGGCCTGTCCTGGCCTGGGTTGCAGACCCCACCCTGTAAGGAGTCAGCACCCTGGTTGGGGTACTCCCTGGCCTACTAGGACTGCGCACTGCCAGGGCCAGTTCTGCTGGACTGGACAAGAGACCCAAGTTGCAGCAAACTTTCCTAGAGGTTGGTATGGCCTCTACCTGGCTTGGCGACCTGCTCCTTTGTGGGAGATACAAGGTCTTTCCAGGCTCTTTTGACCCTTTGGCCACAGTCTTCAGGCCTGATGAGGGCAGGTGTCTGCTGGTTCCTTAAAGAAGTGAGGGGGACCCAGTCCCTGAGGTCCTCCTGCCTTGCCTGCCCCAGGAAACTGGCCTCCCCCACCAGACTTACGTGCTAAGGGTGCGCAGGGCCAGTGGTGTGGTGCATGGTGGGTGGCAAGCCAGCTGTGGGTGGGACAGTGGTGGCCGTGATCACTGGGGGCCACGTGGCATAGCTGACGGGAGCGATGGGGCTGGGGCCGCCCTGCAGCAGGGCTGTGGATGAGTAGTGGTGGTGGTGATGATGCACTGGGGGCGGCTTCGGCCTCTCAGCCCGGACAGCTGCGTTCGCCCACTGCAGTCAAACACAGAACACACACCTGGCTTACGCCCTTGGCCACCACCATCTGGCCCACCAAAGGGACCCACTCCACGTGCCTCTGTTTGACTGGTGGTCTGAGCATGAAGAGCAGGTGAAAATGAGGGGCCAGACCCTATGCAGAGTTCAGGCCCCAACTGTACAACCCATTTTTGGGGTGGGGCTAGGGACTGCGCCGTAGATCCAGAGCCAGAAATGAATGCCCTTTCAGAACCACAGAGAAGCAGAAATTTCTAGATCGGAAACCACGCCAGGCCCTCTGGTTTCCCTGTGGTCTCCTGGGGCAGCCTACCTGGGGTGCCGGGGGCAGGGCTCTGAGCAGCATGCCCTGCAGCAGGACCTGGTGCATCTGTGCACTCTGCATCAGCATCACCTCCACCATGTCTGAAAGGAGACAGCGCTGCCAACAGGCTTGTCTAGAGACAGAGCTCGCTGTCCACGCTGGTTAAAACAAATTCAGTACCCACCACGTGTGACACGCGTGCCTGTATGCCCCCTGGGGAGTGTGTACAAGATGTGGAGCTGCAAGGTCAGGGTGGCCTCCCCACCACTCCTCCTTCTCCCAGTGATTCTTCAGTTGTCCCCTGGGACTGCATGGTGATCCCCCAAACATCTTCATGTCCTGATCCCCTAATCGCTGTGTGACCCCATTTGGAAAAAAGGTCTTTGCAAAGTTACTTAAGATCAGAAGATGAGAAGTCATCCTGGTTTTTCCAGCAGAGCCCTAAGTCCAGTGTTAAGTGCCTTTGTTTTTAAGATTTATGGAGTCAGTGCTGTGGTGTAGGTTAAGCCTCTGCCTGAAGCTCCAGCATCCCTGTGGGCTCCAATTCATGTCCCGGCTGCTCTTTTTCCCATCCAGCTCTCTACTAATGGCTTGGGAAAGCACATGCCCACACCTGGATGCTGGGCACCTGCCTCCAGAGCCAGGAGGGGAAATATTCCTGCTGTTTGAAACCATTCAGTTGGCTGGTTACCACAGCTACAGGAAACTACATACTCACCAACCCAGTACTACAAAACATTGTAACTTTGGACAGTGTGAAAGGCATAGATTGGCTCTTTTCACAGCAACCTGAGCCTTGAAATCACTGAGCCTTGGGGCTCTGTCAGCCTCAGTAAAGGAGAGCCAACCTCCCAGAGCCACTGTCCCAGCCAGATGCATGCAAGCCCAGCCCAGCTGGCACTACAGGCTTTCGACCGGCAGCAGGAACTGCGCTGCCTGAGCTCAGGGTCAGAAGACCAAGGAACAGACAGCACAGGGCAGGTGGGTCTCTGGCAACACAGCTGTGTTCAGTCTGACGGCCTCACCCCACCCATTCATTATCCACCCTGTAGCAAAGACTGTTGCCGTGCTGGGAAAGCAGGAGCACTTAGCATCTAGTTCATATCCAACAAAACAAAACAGCATTGGCCCCATCATAGCACACACAAGAAATCTACTCCAGAGGCTGACGCTGTAGCACAGTGGGTTAAAGCCCTGGCCATATGGCTGCTCCACTTTCTATTCAGCTATCTGTTATGGCCTGGGAAAGCAGTAGAAGATGGCCCAAGTCCTTGGTCCCCTGCATCCACGTGAGAGACCCGGAAGAAGCTCCTGGCTGCTGGCTTCGGATGGGCACAGCTCCGGACGTTGCGGCCATCTGGGGAGTGAACCAGTGGATGGAAGACCTCTCTCTCTCTCTCTGCCTCTCCTCCTCTGTGTAACTCTGACTTTCAAATAAATAAATAAATCTTAAAAAAAAAAAAAAAAAAAGAAAAGAAATCTACTCCAGGGGCCGGCTTTGTGATGACATAGCAGGTTGGGCCACTGCCTGGGACACCTGCATCCCGTGTGGTCAGCGGTCTGAGTCCTGGCTGCTCCACTTTCAATCCAGCTCCCTGCTAATGTGCCTGGGAAGGTGGCAGAGGATGACCCAAGTGGTTGGGTCCCTGCCACCCATGTAGGAGACCTGGATGGAGTTCCAGGCTCCTGGCTTTGAACTGGCCCATTCCCAGCCGTTGCAGCCACTGGGGTGTGAACTACCATGTGGAAGAGGTCTCTCCTCTCTCTCTAACTCTACCTTTCAAATAAAGAATAATCTTTTTTTGGGGAAAAAGAATCTAATCCAGATGGATCATAAGCCCAAGTGTGACAGGTAGGCAAAGCTGTAGAAGAAAATGCAGACCCTTCCTTATGAACTGAGTGGGAGAAGAGTGGTTTTTTGTTTTGTTTTGTTTTGACAGGCAGAGCGGACAGTGAGAGAGAGAGGTCTTCCTTTTGCCGTTGGTTCACCCTCCAATGGCCACCGTGGCCAGTGCGCTGCAGCCGGCGCACCAGGCTGATCTGATGGCAGGAGCCAGGTGCTTCTCCTGGTTTCCCATGGGGTGCAGGGCCCAAGCACTTGGGCCATCCTCCATTGCACTCCCTGGCCACAGCAGAGAGCTGGCCTGGAAGAGGGGCAACCGGGACAGAATCCGGCGCCCCGACCGGGACTAGAACCTGGTGTGCCGGCGCCACAAGGCAGAAGATTAGCCTAGTGAGCCGCGGCGCTGGCCGGGAGAAGAGTTCTTAAACAGGATATAAAAGGTACTAACTATGACAGAGAAAGCCTATACTATGCTTAATTAAAATAAGAACATCTGTTCATCCAAAGACAGCATGAAGACAGTGAACCAGCAACCACTAAAAAAGAGCATGATGCTTGCAATAGTAGTATGAAAAAAAAATCTCATTGCATAAAATGTACAGGGTTGCTAAGAAGCCCCAAGACAGGCAGACAGCCTGAAAGAAAAATGGGCAAAATAGTTCAATGGACACTTCACAAAAACAGACGTTCAAGTGGTGATAAATGCATGAAAAGTGATACCATAATGAACTTCCATGACATGCCCATGAGGCAGATAAAAATGAAAAAATCCTGAGTATCGATGTTGATAAGCTGCTGTGGGCAACTTAAATTCTCACTCCCTCCTGTGAAGTAAATGCTTCTGACCATTTTCAACCTGGATAGGAACTGGTGCCCAACTCATGTGGATGTTTAAACCCCAAAGTCACAGGCTGAGTGACTGGGGGATCCAACTAGGGTGTCTGAGGGTGTGGCCTTAGGAAAGTGGTTAGACTGGATTCTGTTGTTAGGGTGAAGTCATGGGCTTTACAAAAGAGGCCGTATACACAAGGAGCAAGCCTGGCCCCTCCCCCCTCCTCAGCCTAGCTGTCAGCTACCATACAGTCCTTCACCTCCCTCCTCGAACGCCAGACTAAGGGGGCCACCCATCTTGGACTGAGAACCTCTCAAAGAGTGAAATAAGCCTTTCTCCCTAGGTAGTCCCTTTCAGGTATCTGTTAGGGTGATGAAACGCTGACTAATACAGCCATGTATTTGTGCATCCAACAACAGTGATGAGTCTTAGTTTTGTTCAGTGAAAGAAGTCATGTGAGAAGAAGTGCATACTGTGTAATTCCGTGTTTATGACAATCTGGGAAATAGCACCTAATACATGGTGATAGAAAGTTGTTCAACAGTTGCTTGGGGGACAGGAAGGAAGGATTAAATGGCAGATGAGAGGGGCTGGCATTGTAGTATAGCAGGTAAAGCTGGAGGCTGGGACACGCGCATCCCATGTAGGTGCCAGTCTGTGTCCTAGCTGCTCCACTTCCAATCCAGCTCCCTGCTAACTCCTGGGAAAGGCAGGAGAAGATGGCCCAAGTACGTAGGCCCCTGCCACCCACATGGGAGACCCAGATGGAGTTCCAGACTCATCTGGGCCCGGCCCTGGCCATTGCAGCCAAATCAGAAGTGACCCAGCAGATGGAGGATCTCTCTCTCTCTCTGTCTCTTCCTCATGCTCTCCAACTCTACCTCTCAAATAAATAAATAAATAAATATTTAAAAAGAAAAGAAGGGGATGAGGAAAATCTTTGTGGCGAGGGATACCCTCACTATCTTCACTGCTGTGATGGTTCCACAGATAGAAACATACATGAACACTTACCAAATTGTACCTCTGAATGTTTGTGACATACAGGTGACTCGTTCTAATTCACATCCCAGTAAAGCCACTTTGAAAATCAGGTATTTAAAAGTGATTTTAAAAGCAGCAGTTTGGCCACGTCTTTTGTATAGCTAACAACTGTGATAGGATTGCAGCCCAATTCCTTCAACTGCTAATCCAGGCCTCTTCCTTACGCCTCATGTTTTCTTCCCTCAGAGATTTCCTTCACATAAGGATTTCTCTTTTTTTTCTTTTAATTTGTTTTGTTTATTTGAAAGGAAGAGTTAGAGAGAGATTTCATCTGCTGGTTCACTCCCCAAGTGGCTACAAAAACTAGAGCTGGGCCGGACTGAAGCCAGGAGCCAGGAGCTTCATCCAAGTCTTGCTGCTTCTCAGGCACATTAGCAGGAGCTGGATCGGAAGCAGAGCAGCTTGGATTCGAAGTGGTGCCCACATGGGATGCTGGCATCACAGGTGGTGGCTTTACCTGCTATGCCACAATGCTAGCCTCATGTAGGATTTCTTAAAGTTAAGATTCTTTTTATGTTGAGTAGCCAAAAGCTGACCCTAGATGACTATCCTGCTTATGAAAATATTTTCTCTTTCAATTGTGAATTTCATAAACCCATAATAACATTAATATGGAACACTTACCTTCCTTAATACTTCCTGACCTTTGAGTGGGGAAGACCTGGGGTGGAGGGATCTGTGTGATGAGTGGCTGCTGAGGTAGCTGCTGAATGATGGTGGCAGGAGGCTGGGGAGCCTAGGAACAGCCAGGTGATTAGCTACCTGAGTGTATCTTTGGAGTTCATCCACAGTATCTACCCATCCATCTGCTTATCTACTCAACCAGCCACTTACTCACCAATCTATCTACCCACCAACCGACCATCCACCCTTCCATTCACCATTTACCAATCTATCCATCCATCCATCTGCCCACTCATCCAGTCATCTCTCCATGTATCCAATCACCCATACACCTATCTATCCATTCACTTATCAATCCATTCATGTATCACAAAGAACTTTACATGATTAATCCTAATGGTTGAAAAGAGAGATAATTGGATCTGGTCAGTTATGACATGGTGTTTGTTAAAGATTTATTTATAAGTCATAATTACAGAGTGAGAGGGAGACACACACACACACACACACACACACACAGTTATCTTCCATTAGCTGGTTCACTCCCCAAATGGCTACAACATCTGGGGCTGGGCTAGGCTGAAGCCAGAAGCCAGGAGCCTCCTTCAGATGGCCCAGGCACTTGGGCCATCCTCTTTTTCTTTCCCAGGCACATTAGCAGGGAGCTGGATGGGAAGCAGAGCAGCCAGGACTCCAACCAGTGCCCATATGGGATCCCAGCGCTGCAGATAGCAACTTAACCCACCATAGCACAGTGCCAGCCCCCATGATGTTTTTAATATTTCTCACATTTCCTAGGCTGGGCAAGCTAATGCCTGATTTCATTAATTCTGCTTTAGTAGAAGCATCCAACACTTGGCATGTTAGCCATTCAGTAGGGATGCAGTGGTAGCTCACTGTGGTTTTAACTTGTATTTCCCCAATGACAATGGTGTTAGGAGCCCAGTGCACCTGACCCGTGCAGAATACTGAGTCACTTGATCTGTCTACCCTAGCACCAACACCACCATGGTTAACTATGGTGGCTCTGTCTTATGCTGTAGTGCACATATGGGACTTCTCATGAAAATAATGTCTGATTTTTCTTCTATGTGAAAATAAATAAATTCCCTCTGTTTTAGTCTTCTGATTTGTGAGGTCCTGCATGACTTTGTCCCTTCTTCCTCAGCTCACAGAAAGGATGATACCGACCAGGGGCTGACAAGCTTTCCTGTGAAGAGCCAGACAGCATTGTTTGGGTTTTGTTAGCCACATGGTCTCCTGCTGAACTCTGCTTTATAGTGGAAAGCAGCCACAGACTGTTTGCAAACAAATGAGCCTGGTCCAGTGACATTTTAATTATTAATACTGAAGTTTTCACTTCATGTACGCTCCATGTGTTATAAAGTATCATTCTTCTGTTGTTTTTCCCTAAATATTTTACCATGTAAAATCATTCTTAGGGGGGCTGGTGTTGCAAGTGTCCCACATGGGTGCTGATTCAAGTCACAGTTGCTCCACTTCCAATCCAGCTCTCTGCTATGGCCTGGGAAAGCAGTGGAAGATGGCCCAAGTGCTTGGGCCCTGTACCCATGTGAGGGATCTGGAAGAAGCTCCTGGCTTCGATTTGGCTTGACCCTGGCTGTTACAGCCACCTAGGGAGTGAACCAGCAGATTAAAGGGCTCTCTCTCATACTCTCTGTCTCTCCCTCTCACTCTTTAACTCTGCCTTTCAAATAAAATAAAATCTTGGCCGGTGCCACGGCTCACTAGGCTAATCCTCTGCCTTGCAGCGCCGGCACACCGGGTTCTAGTCCCGGTCGGGGTGCCGGATTCTGTCCCGGTTGCCCCTCTTCCAGGCCAGCTCTCTGCTGTGGCCAGGGAGTGCAGTGGAGGATGGCCCAAGTGCTTGGGCCCTGCACCCCATGGGAGACCAGGAGAAGCACCTGGCTCCTGCCATCGGATCAGCGCGGTGTGCCGGCCACAGCGCGCCAGCCGCGGCGGCCACTGGAGGGTGAACCAACGGCAAAGGAAGACCTTTCTCTCTGTCTCTCTCTCTCACTGTCCACTCTGCCTGTCAAAAAAAAAAAATAATAATAATAACAAAATAAAATAAAATCTTACAAAAAAATTCTTAGCTCACAAGTTACGCAGGAACAAGAGGCAGGCCAGCTCTGGCCCAAGGCTGTAATTTTCCAACCCCTGATGTCGACCGGGGGGTGGAGGGCACCCTTAGAGCAGCTGTGCCTGGCCTGGCCGCAGGACCCTCTCCCTCTGCTGGGAGATTCACTTCAATGGCCCAAGGCTCCTGATCCTGCTGTTGGTATCATTGGACTAAGACTGAAACCCATAGGCAGGACTGGGCAGTGATGAATGTGCAGTCAGTGCAGACCTGTGTGGGGACCTCCCACACCTACAGACCCCACTGTTCCCACCATCCTGGAAGGAGGATCCAGGTGCTGAAAGATAGCGGAGCACAGGAGGAGGATATTGAAACCCAGGCGCAACCATCGGCAAAGGGGGCTCTCGGCTCCATTCGCACAAATCCCTCCCTCTGGTCACTCCCAAAGGACAGGTGCATGCCAGGTTCAGTCTCAGCCAACCTGTGTAGCGCCTTCTCCCTCTCCTTAGCCCTGCCCTCCTGTTCACCTCCTCTTCTGCACCTCAGTCACACTGAATTCACACAGGGGCCTCAATGTGCCAGGCCTGGCTTCTGCCACTCTTCTGGGTGTCCATTATTGGACACATTCCCTTTTGTTTAAGAAAGAATGGTTTTCTGTTGCGTGCAACCCAGAATGCCAACAAATAGGTGAGACTCACAAAACTAGAACACTTTTTCACCCTGTATATTCTGTCCTGGAAATTAGGGTCTTTGGCAGTTTTGGTCATTATGAAGTTCTGAGGAGGAGCTGACCCCTTCCCCAGAGCCGAGGCCTCTTGTTGCTAAGCTCCCCTAATAAGTGCACCAGGTAGGACTTGGGGAGGGGGCATGCCGGAACGGCAGAGTGGGGAGCTTGCCTCTCCTCTCTCATGAGGGCTGAGGCCACCTCCCTCCTTACCTGTCCTCAGGGTACCCGCCAAGTCTGATAAAGTGCCTGAACGCGGGAAAGCCTCCTGCTGTTGGTTCTTAGCAGCCTGTGCTGTGTCCGAGACATGGGTGCTAAGCTTCTGTAGGCATGGTCCACTCCCCACTTTTCTGTACAACCTTAGTCCCCCTCACCCCTCATGAAGATATTGGTTTCCCCTCACCCCTTACCGAGTGCAGGATGACGCGCGGTGGCTCTGGGGCTGCTGGAGGCAGGGAGGGGGTGGGGTGGACACCCGCTGGGGGCACCTCTGGAGGTGGAGCTGATCCACAGGTTGCTCTTTTTGGGCTGCTCCAGGCATGGGTCCGAGAGAGGTCATCCAGCAGCTGCTGTTCCTGCAAGGCCAGGGCAGAGCCTGCTGCGTGCAGGAAAGAATGCAATAGTAGCAGGGGAATCCCAGCCTGGGCTCTGACCTGCCGGACTGCAGGCACAGATGCGGCTTCCTGGGGGGACGGCCGAAGGGCTGTCACTGGTACTGGTTTTCTCAGCCCCCACCCGGGGCTCACAGGCCCTCTGGTCCTCATGGAGCCCCCTCTGGAACTGGAGAAAGGCTGGAAAAGCTAAGCCTTGGGGGCACTTCGTGTGGTGCACATGTAAAAGTACAGTTTCTAGGCCAGCGCTTGGCATAGTGTGTTAAGCCCCAGCCTTCAGCGCCAGAATCTCATATGGGTGCCAATTCGAGTCCCTGCTGCTGTACTTCCATCCAGCCACCTGCTGATACACCTTGGAAAGCAGCAGGGGATGGCCCAAGTTCTTGGGTCCCTGCACTCACATGAGAGACCAGGAAGAAGCTCCTGGCTCCTGGTCTCAGCCTGGCCCAGACCTGGCCATTAAAGCCATTTGATAAGTCAACCAGCAGACTTGTCTTTCCCCCTCTCTCTCTTTCTGTAACTCGGCCTTTCAAAAACAAATAAAATAAATCTTAAAAAAAATGAAAAAGAATATGGTTTCTTTTACAATTTGCTAAAAATTTGGACAACTTTCAGGCTATTTCTTTCCCCAGCCAAAATAATTCTCTCTTCCCAACCTGTTCATACATGCACTTCACTGCAAAGTTCTTCCTCCCTCCCTAGCACTGGTTTAATGGAACATGCATTAGGCCAAGTGCACCCTCAGGAGCTCATTCCTTCTTGTTTGGATGAGACTCTAGGCATTCTAGAATTCCACTTCCTGCTGATATCGAGCCCTTTCTCAATATTCCCTCTTTGATATGTGCAATCATATCAAAGATGATTTCTGAGCTTTCTGAGCTCACAATGCCCACGTTTGTGTCCAGGGCTGCGTGTTACATTCTCTCTGTGTGTGGCTGAGGGGTGAAGTCTCTTAGTGGTTACAATAAGCAGGAACCTGTCATCGCAAATACCAGAGAAGCAGCCCCAAGAGTCCAAATGGGTGCCCTGTGCATTTGGCTCAAGCATGGTGCCCAGGCTCACTTGCGAGTGCGCAGGCCTACCCAGAGTCGCTGCAGAAGGTCCCTCCTTCTCCGCAGAGCGCTCTGCAGGGCAGTGTCCAGCCCGTCGTCCTTGCCTGGAAGGAAGCACATGCTTGTGGCTGAGGATGTGTCAAGGCTGCTGGCCTATACACTCGGTGCGTCCCACAGACCCGACCAGAATGCCCCAACCTCACCCGCACCCTTGGGCACCTGGGAGTGACCTGAGACCCTCCTGGATAAACACCTGTCCCAGAGAAGGAAGGCCTAGTGCCTGGGACTTGTGAGGGCAAGGGACGGCAGTGAGGAGGGAGGAAAGCAGGGACTTGGCTCTGAGCTCGCGGTCACACTGCAGATTCCCCCTTGGGCTCAGTGCTGCAGTGCTCCTGCACGCCATAGACAGAAAGTCCCTTAGGTGCCAAGAGGCAGGAGGGCCCTACAGGGTCAGTGGGAATCAGCGATGGGCTGTCCGAAGGCTGGCCCACCCTTCCAGTGTCGGGTGAGTTCTGCACTCAGGAGAAGGCTCTGGCAGGGGTCTGGTCAGTCCAGGTCAGGGCTCAGGCCTCTTTCTTTCCCCAAGGCACTGTGGCCCTGCCTGCTGCCCAGCATCTCATTGCAGCTGTCTGCTGTGGACGCCTGAGCAGCCGCATCGGGGGTTCCCCCAGGAATCGACTTCCATGTCAGCATTACTGCTCTCACAGCCTCTGTGGTCGAGTGGCCTGGTTTGGGATTTCCTTTCTGAATTTGGAAGCCTGGTTGCATCCAGCTGGCCTCAGGAGCTACCAGGAGCCCCCACAGCCCATGGGTACCCCTGTGGGCCTCCTTAGCTCCTCATCCAGAATGAGGACAAGATGAGCCCTCCCCCCCACCTCGGGGCCCTGGAAGCAGCAACCTGAGGGGGCGGTATTTAACTTCCCTGTGCCTCCATCTTCTCATCTGCAATATGAGAATGATGACTGAGTCTTTCTCTCGGGCTGGTAAGGTATGTAGGGGTGACTTTTATCCCTGAATGTAAAAGATTCACATCAAGGATGGTCTTGCTGGTAACAGTAGGAGGGTGATTCCCACAGCCTCGCTCCCTTCCTCCCCTGAGACAGCTGCTCATGGCCTACCTGGCACAAGGTGGGAGTCCTCACAGTCCCCTTCCATCTCCTCTCGTTCTTGCTCCAGCTTCTATGAAGTACAGAGACGGCGAAGGGAAAGTTGGCACTAGGCAAAGTCATGGTGAGTAGGGCCTGCCTGCCTACTCCTCCCAGCTGCTACCCATGAGCTCTGAGTGTCCAGGGCTCCAATAGAGAGGTGCTCTGATAGGGAAAGGAATGCATTCGGCATCACGCACGTGCTCCATCTTAAGACCCAAGGACAGATGCTTTGGACGGCTCCTGTGGAGGAGGTCGCTGCCCAGGAGAGACTGTCCCAGTGAGGCCACCAGGCTTCCCAGCCAGTGGCCACCCTGATCACCCCACCTAAGCCTTGGGTTGAGCAGCTCCAAATTGTGTCTGCCCTATGACAACTACTGCTTGTTTCTTTTGCAGCAGCCTGTGGGCCACCTGCACTCCAGGTTGGAGGGCTGGCAAGAGGCAGGGGCAGAAAAGGAACAACACGGGCAGTGGATGCAGAGCCAGCTACAGCCACTGAGAGCGGCTATGGACCCTGTGCTCAGTGACTTGTGAGGACAGACCCATCACGGTCTACCTAGACCCTCAGAGAAGGCTAAGAGGACAGGTCACGACGGCTCAGCCCTCAGGGCCCTGTGTCCTGCACCAACCAGGCTGTCCCTTAAACAGTGAGCCTGGGAGATCTGGAGGGGAGCTCTGTGGGGCCTGGCCAGGGCTGCCTGCCTGCTTCTTGTCTGTGGGAACTGCTGGAAGGACCTTATTGGTTCTGTACAGATATAAAGAAGAAACCAAAAGTCACATTTCTTCATGACAAAAGCTAAAAACCATAGAAACTGCTTTAGAAGCAGGAACTTACAGGCAGTTGCCAAAGGCAGGGCATATGGCTTACTATCTTAGGTTTCCTCTCACGAGCTGTTAAAAGCAGTAGTGTTGGGCTGGTGCTGTGGCACAGCAGGTAAAGCCACTATTTGTGGCACCGGCATCCCTTACAGATGCCAGTTCAAGTCCTGGCTGCTCCACTTCTGATCCAGCTTGCTGCTGTTGTGCCTAGTAAAGCAGCGGAAGATGGCCCAAATGCTTGGGCCCCTACACGCAGTTGAGAGACCTCAAAGAAGCTCCTGGCTTCTGGCTTTGGAGTAACGATTTGGGGAGTAAACCGGTGGATGGAAGATTTCCCCCCGCCCCTGCCCGGTATCTCTGCCTTTTGGATAAAGAAAGAAAAAAAAGTAGGGGGCCGGCGCCGGGGCTCACTAGGCTAATCCTCTGCCTTGCGGCACCAGCACACCGGGTTCTAGTCCCGGTCGGGGCGCCGGATTCTGTCCCGGTTGCCCCTCTTCCAGGCCAGCTCTCTGCTGTGGCCCGGGAGTGCAGTGGAGGATGGCCCAGGTGCTTGGGCCCTGCACCCCATGGGAGACCAGGAGAAGCACCTGGCTCCTGCCTTCGGATCAGCGTGGTGCGCCGGCTGCAGCGCGCTGGCCGCGGCGGCCATTGGAGGGTGAACCAACGGCAGAGGAAGACCTTTCTCTCTGTCTCTCTCTCTCACTGTCCACTCTGCCTGTCAAAAAAAGAAAAAGAAAAAAAGAAAAAAAAAGTAGGAGTGTTATTGGCTGTCTTACCTGTCCCAAGAGTTTCAGTGTCAGCCGGGTCATTTGGTCTGCCATTGATTGGTCTGCCATTGAGGTGTCAGGAACTGTGTGAGATGGCAGGAGAGGCAGTGGTGGGTGCTTTCTCCCTGGCTCTCAGTTATCTGCAGGGGAGAACTGCTCAGCAGTGCCAAACTTTGTGGAGAATACCCCGCCGTGGGCTCTGCTTACTGCCTGGAGACCGTCTTAATCCACAAGAGAAGCCGCCAGCAGGATGACCACATTGCTCCCTGGACTGTGGAATGTGTGCAGCCAACCTGGGTGCTGCCCGTTGCTAGGCCAGTGGGGGTCTGGGTTGCCAGGTTTCCAGAGAGAGCCTGTTCCCAAGCAGGGCTCGCCTATAAACAATGCTGTCAGGTGTGGCTAGGCAGGGCTCAATGGGAAGGTAAAAGGGGCAGCAGGAGGGGCTAGAGCTGTCAGAATTCTGTGGGGCGGGGGCGGTGGGCAGTGGCTCAGGACAGAGCTCAGAAAAATGTATCAATGGGGAGAGGGGAGGCATCCCTTCCCTACCAGACGTGCTGCCCTGGCCTGCTACTCCCCTCCCCCATTACTGTCTCTAGAACCAGCAGTGCCCCGTGCCTGTGCTAGGACTTTCACCACTGCTAAGACTCCCAGGGCAAGAAAGGAGCCCAGCTCCGACACCTGGAAGGAGAGGGCCACCGCCTTGAAGATTTCAAGAAATTGTGGGCTGCAGAAGGGGCAGGGTAGTGGAAGGGCCCATGAGTTGTAGAGGGGCTTGGGGTTGGGTGGGGCATGTGCTAGGACCCACTCCATCGTGTCCAGCCCAGAGGACTAAGTAGTGGAAGAAGTGCAGATGGGAAGTCAGATGGTGTCACCCTGGGATGTACCCGGGGGACTGAGGCTTGCTGGGGACGGTTGCTAGTACCTTCCTCAGTGCAGCTGACCCATAAACCTACATCCAGTTGCCAAAGTGTCCATGACTATCTGTGAAATTGCCACCATTTTTCAGACCTTTTCTGGTTGTTTGGATGCTGAGACTTTGGGCTGGACACAAGGTGCCAAGTTCTCCGCTATCAAGCCCCCAGGGCTAGCTGGGGTGAACAATTTCATCTTCAGAGCCCAGCTCAACTGCTGGTTGGGGGCCACGTCCAACATACCTGTACATGGAGGGTGAGTCATGGCACTGAATCAACTATGGCACTGCTGGGTATGGGCCTTGCACCTACCTCCCCACATGTGTGACATGGTACATATTCCCGGCTTTCCTACAGTGACACTCAAGTAGGTCAGGGTGTGCACAAAACTGGCTAATTTAGTTAAGCAGCTCAAGATTGCTAATGGGTACTCCCCAGTGGTATGGGTAACAAGTTTCAGTGGGCATGGGTTTGTTAAGTTTCAAAATATGCTTTTTTCCTGGAGTTTCAGATTGACAGAAAAAATGAGACAGTACAGTCCCACATATGACTTCCTTGATAATAATCACCTCACATGAGTTAGGGTCATTTTGTCAATATCAACAAACCAATACTGAGACATTACTCACTCAAGTTTACATTTTCCTTAGTTTTCACCTATTGTCCCTAATGTGCGTGGTGTTTCATCCAGGACACATGACACTGATCTGCATATCTCTTAGACTGCTCTTGGTTGTGACAGTTTCTTAGACTTTCCTTATTTTTGATGCTTTTGGCAGTGTTGAGGAACACTGGCTCAGGCGTTTTGTAGAACATTCCTTAGCTGGGATCCATGGTTTCCCCCTGGTTAGCTCAGGTTGAAGGCTGTTGGAAGGTCTGCCGCACATATCACAGTGACTCTCCCCTTGGTCACCTGGTGAAGTGTGTGGATCAATTTTTTTTACTGGATAGTGACTCTGCCTTTTATTGTTTTTTGGAGGAAGTTGTTATGCATAGCCACATTTAAGGAATTGGGGAATTACGTTATGCCTTTTTGAGAGTATCTACATAATTTATTTTGAAAAAATTTTAGTTAAAAATAGACTGAAATGAGACTCATATCCAACATGTGCAGAACCTCTCTGAAATGTCTATAGAAATGACTCTGGGGTTCTGAGGGATTCTGTTGGGACAAATTGGGCACATGAGCCCCTTTCCCCAAGTTTTTTTTTTTTTAAGATTAATTTATTTGAAAGGCAAAGTTTATAGACACAGGGAGAGACCTTCCATCCTCTGGTTCACTTCCAAAATGGCCACAGTTGGGCCAGTCCAAAGCCAGGAGCCAGGAGCTTCTTCCAGGTCTCCCACATGGATGCAAAGGCCCAACAACTTGGGCCATCTTGCTTTATCAGGCACATCAGCAGGGAGCTGGATTGAAGTGGTGCCCATATGGGATGCTGGCCTCATCCCATGGTGGTGGCTTTACCTGCTATGCCACAGCACCAGCTCCTCTCTCGAGGTTTGAATACATTTTTTTTTTTTTTTTGACAGGCAGGAGTGGACAGTGAGAGAGAGATACAGAGAGAAAGGTCTTCCTTTGCCATTGGTTCACCCCTAACCCTCCAATGGCCGCCGCGGCCGGCGCGCTGCAACCAGCGCACCGCGCCGATCCAACGGCAGGAGCCAGGTGGTTCTCCTGGTCTCCCATGGGGTGCAGGGCCCAAGCACTTGGGCCATCCTCCACTGCACTCCCTGGCCACAGCAGAGAGCTGGCCTGGAAGAGGGGCAACCGGGACAGAATCCGGCGCCCCGACCGGGACTAGAACCCGGTGTGCTGGCGCCGCAAGGCGGAGGATTAGCCTAGTGAGCCGCGGCGCCATCCCTGCTCACCCTGGCCAAAGCAGCATGTGTCGCTCAAACTACCCAATTCAGGAGACTACTCTCCACACAAAGGGCTCTAATGACTGAGCAGTTAACTCTCCCCAGGGCTTCATCAGGGAATCTGTTAAGCTGTGGTTGTTTAGAATCACAAGCTGTATCCTGGGTTTGCTTTCCTTTTACTTTAGTAGCAAATGAGATGCTATTGATAAGAGAAAAGGCTAAAGGCAGCTGAGAATGTTAAATCCATCTAGATACACAGGTTCATTGCTGTCTGAGCATGGCTGCTTCCGGCTGGGGCCCACACCCCAGACATACATCTATCCAGGCAGTTACACTGACAATAACATGAGGTGCAGGGAGAGAATGCCTTGGATTAATGTAAGTCAGTTTATTTTCTTCCAGTGATCTTGAGGACACTAAAAACACTGTTTATCAAACGGTGGGCCAAGAATAAAAACCTTACATATCTTCCACATCTGGACTTACACGCTCAAGTCTGAATCTGAGGAACAAATAATGATCACGTCAGACTCGATTCCCACACAGACCATGAGTTCGTAGCAAGATACACTTTCTGGCCGGCGCCGTGGCTCACTAGGCTAATCCTCCGCCTAGCGGCGCCGGCATACCGGGTTCTAGTCCCGGTTGGGGCGCCAGATTCTGTCCCGGTTGCCCCTCTTCCAGGCCAGCTCTCTGCTGTGGCCAGGGAGTGCAGTGGAGGATGGCCCAGGTGCTTGGGCCCTGCACCCCACGGGAGACCAGGAAAAGCACCTGGCTCCTGGCTCCTGGCATCGGATCAGCGTGGTGCGCCGGCCGCAGTGCGCAGGCCGCGGCGGCCATTGGAGGGTGAACCAACGGCAAAGGAAGACCTTTCTCTCTGTCTCTCTCTCTCACTGTCCACTCTGCCTGTCAAAAAAAAAAAAAAAAAAAAAAAAAGATACACTTTCTTCAAAGAAGAATTGAGAGCAGTTTTTTGGGTTCATAGATTGAGTGGGAAATACAGCATATATATTTTTCATGAATAAAACACACTTAAAAAAAAAAGATTTATTTGAAAGGCAGAGTTACAGAGAGGCAGAGAGAGAGGTCTTCCATCCGCTGGTTCACTCCCCAGATGGCCACTAAGGCTTGAGCTGGGCTGATCCAAAGCCAGGAGCCAGGAGCTTCCTCCGGGTCTCCCACGTGGGTGCAGGGGCCCAAGGACTAGGGCCAGGCCACAGCAGACAGCGGGATCAGAGGTGGAGCAGCCGGGACTCGAACCGGCGTCCATATAGGATGACAGCACTGCAAACAGAGCTTCACTCGCTTAGCCACAGCGCCGGCCCGAAAAATATTTTTTGAAACTAAAATATATTTGGAACAATTCACAGAAACATTTCAGTTTTAATCCATTTCTACTTAAGAGACTTTTTCATCAAATGAGGCCTCTGTTGATCCAATTTCGTACCATGTAAAACTGCATCCTCAGGGCTGGCGCTATGGCGCAGTGGGTTAAGCCGCTGTCTACACTGCCAGCATCCCGTATCGCTCCCAGTTCGAGTCCCGGCTGCTCTGTTTCTGGTCATCCTCTCGCTGCCTGGCTTTCTCCGGGGAAGGGGCCCCTGTGACCCTCGAGGGGCAGCCCGCAGGTGGACAGCGGGGGAGGGCGTGGGAGCACCCCTAACCCCTCCCAGCGGCGGGCGCCTTCGGGGTCTGCCTCAGCTTCCAGAGCAGCTCCGACAACTGAGGAACGCTCTCCACACAAAGGTCTGGCCTGTGGGACCGACCCGGACCAGCGACGGCTCCAAGAGGCTCTGCCCGCCCGTGGCAGGCAGTCCGGCTTCCTGCAGCCTCGACCCCTCAGACGGTCCGCACGCGACCCAGCCTGGATCCGCTGCCAGGGCCAGCCTCACCTCAGAGCGGAGAAATCGGCCACCCGGAAGCGACCGCACGGCGCGTCAGGCCCGCAGCCGGGGAGCGCCGCACCTCACACACCCGCAGAGGCACAAACCCGCCGCGGCTCGGCGCCCGCCCATTTTAAACCTAACCAACAGCTGAGCGGTCCTCTCAGAAGGGGCAGGCACGTCAGCGCACCAATCGCAGCCCGGCGAGCAGCAGGGGCGGAGCCTCCCCCGGGCCGCTCCTCCTTGACTGCGCGTGCGCGAAAGCGGGAACGCGGGGTCCTCATTGGCGACGCAGCGGGGCGGGCCGACGGCGGGGCGGGCCCACAGTGCGTGACAGTTGTCGCTGGGGGAGGGCGAGCCCTGGCGCGGGGGAGGGAGTGTCAATAGAGCGAAGTCGGCGCCGTGTCTACACCGCCAGCTCCGGGCGACTCGTGAAGACTCCAAGAGGGAGATGGAAGAGGATGAGCAAGAGCAGCGGCGCCGAAAGGTGGAGGCTGGGAGAGCGAAGGTAAACGGCAGCACGCCTCTCCTCCCGCTGCCCCAGCGTGAAGTCTCCGGGGCAGGCTCCGGTGCTTGCCGCCGCCCTCTGCCAGGAGCGGACGCGGTTAGGCGTGGAGCCACCGCCAGGCCTTGCCTTTCCCGCCGTCTCCACTGGAAGTTTTCTCCTGACCGCCGCCATCTTGAATCCGCCGCCCTCTGCGCGGGCCCGCCCCCACTGCGGCTGTAGCCAATCCGCGGCCGGGACGGGAGCGCCTGGCGGGTAGGCGGGGCGAGGCGGGGCTGCGCCTGCGCTCTGGTGTTCTGCCGACCCCGCCCCGTTTCCCGGGAGACGTGATGGCGTTCTCCGGGGCGCTGCGCGCCTTTGGCCGTGTGAGCGGCGCGTGCGGCCCCGGGCGCTCCGCCCACTCGCGGGTTTTTACCTGGGGTCAGCCTGGGGCCTGGCCCGGCGCACATTGGCGCTCTCCGTGCGGGTGTCACCTGCGCGAGCGGGACCCGCCTGAGGAAGCGTTCGGGGCTGGTTCTCTCGGTGCGGGGCAGTGACAGGGACCGCAGAACCGGGTCCTCACTTGGCTTCCTTTGGCGGGGTGTCCGGACGGCCTGAGGCAGGCTGCTCGCCAGGATGCGAAAATGAGCCGGAGCCCAGAGCTTCCGCATGTGTTCCCCGAGGTCCGCAAAGAGCCAGCGTGCTCCTAGGAGCCTGGGAAGTCATGAGTCCAAGGCCTGTGGCGGGGGCCGCGTCCGTGCTTCAGAAAGTGAGGGAGGGCACGTGGGGAATAAAGCTGGGGTTGGCTTTGGAGGCAGTGTTCAGCCTTGATGTGGTTTTTTCCAAAAGTAAATGACCCGGTGTCCATGAAATGTGCACTTACGGTCCAAGTTATCATGCGAGGAACACGGGCCCCCTGTTGTTGGACCTCATGCCCTTTGCGTGAGGCGGTGGGTGACCACGTACGAAAGCTCTCAGAGTTGAGGGGCTGAGCAGAGCTGGGCTGTATCTTCTGACGGACGACATTCTGTGGAGGTCCCTGGTGCTTTGGTGAGCTGTGTCATGAAAAATAGAACATCTGATTCCGTAAAGGAAGATGTTAGATTGACCTGGCTTAATTAATTTTTTGCTATTTTGGTAGCTTGTCTCAGATTCTATGGCTAGGAAGTTTTGGCTGGAATATATATTTCCTCGGTTGGGGGAAAAGGGCAAGAAGGGAGCGATTTAGCTTTTTGTAATTTTGAACCTAAAACATGCCTTGATTAGTCTATCCGGCCTTTAAATAGAGTTAAGGTTAAAAATCCTAATTTTCTCCTAAACCGCTAAGGGTCAGAAAAGCGATTCTGCCAGTCAGCTCTATTGTTTCTTTTGCCTGGATATAGGCATCCTCAATGTCCTCATTACTAGACTCTTTGTAGATAATTCTGAACTTAATGCTGGAGTCGTAGATACTAATGAAGGCAGCGTTTGTGGGAGAGTGATCTTATTGGCCAGGTGTGGCTGCGTGGACCGAGTCAGCGCTAGAGCCTCATGTTCCCCTCGAGTCTGTTGACTTTGTGGTTCTGTTATTTTTTTCTCACTTACCTTTGCCTTTACTACTTCTCCACGTTCTTGCGCAGCTTGCTCACTTCCGACAGAGAAAAACAAAAGGTGACTGTGCGCATTCGAAGAAAAAGACGGCGAAGAGGAAGGGCTCGGCTGTCCATGCGCCTGTCCAGGAGGAGAGCCCGGTAGCCGCTGAGGACAGTGGACTCTTTGGAGTGAGGGACGTGTACAACACATGCTGCGAAACCCCTGACGGGGCGACAGGGGCGTTTGCGGCTGAGGTAGGTTTCCTCAGCGTTGTGTTTTCACAGTTTGCTCTTTTTGTCATTGCTAGTGTAACTTACCAAAAGTAGACTTTGGTCTGCTTTTCCCTTTCAAAGGTGGGAAAGAGAGTTTGTTTTAGTTTACAAAAGGTGAGTAAATTTTAATAATGGTTTTACTGTTTTTAAGTATTTTGTCTTTATTATATGAATTTAAGAAATTTTGAATTGATACCTAAATAAGATAGTGTTAATTTCAGTGGTTGTTTTAGTTAGGGCAAGTTTTATAAGTGTGACTTGTGTTGGTGTGTTGCGGTTGCGTGGGAGGTTGTCATCTGTGGTGTGTGTATCAACCCCTTTAACATGAGTTTCTTTGGACACTTAGAGTACTTCTTCATCTACTCTCATATGTACCGGCCTGTTATCTTTGTCCTTTACCTTCTTACTGAAGGTGATGAGATGGGAAGAGTTGTAGGTGTCATAGAAATGCGGTATTTCTGGAGGAGGCTGGCTGACTGGCTGGCTAAGGCCTTGTGAGCAGCCTGGGTGAGCCCCTGGGGGCAGGTGCAGCAGGTGAGTGGCTGTTGAGGGTGCTGCAGGTACTGTCTCTCATGGCTCCCCTGGCTCTCCAGATCTGCCCTTAGGTGGAATCTCCCTGGGATGGTTTCTCGTGTGGATTATAAGTGAGTTGCCTTGAATCTTGAGTGTCCCTGCTCTGTGCAACAGGGTGGGTGTTGGTTTAGGTCTTTGCTAGGATGAGCTGGAAAATACAAATTTACAGAACTTGGAATAGAATTTTGAGGGCAGAATTTGGCTCAGTCATGATGTGTCTGGCCTGCCTTATTCATAAAAGATTAATTGTCACCAGCATGTAAAACTTGTGATAGTCTCCCTACAAATGTGGAATTTTACTTCTTTTTTTTTTTTTTTTTTTTTTTTTTTACTTTTTTGACAGGCAGAGTGGACAGTGAGAGAGAGAGAGACAGAGAGAAAGGTCTTCCTTTGCCGTTGGTTCACCCTCCAATGGCCGCCGCGGCCGGCGCACTCCGCTGATCCGATGGCAGGAGCCAGGTGCTTCTCCTGGTCTCCCGTGGGGTGCAGGGCCCAAGGACTTGGGCCATCCTCCACTGCACTCCCGGGCCACAGCAGAGAGCTGGCCTGGAAGAGGGGCAACCGGGACAGGATCCGGTGCCCCGACCAGGACTAGAACCCGGTGTGCTGGCGCCGCAAGGCGGAGGATTAGCCTAGTGAGCTGCGGCGCCAGCCTGGAATTTTACTTCTTTAAAAAATTTTAAGACCTTGCTGTGGTGCTCCCATGGATTCCCTGAGGCCAAGCCTGCTGTGTTGCTGTGGATTCATTCTGAGAGGAGGAGAATGGTGTGGGCAAGAGGCACGGAATCATGACACAGACACCAGGAGGGAGTCAGGTGAAAGCGGGCCAGAGACCAGCAGCCTGCAGACTCGTCTATTTCAGTTGGTGCAGCAGCTTATATAGCTGAGGCAGCCAATCCGGTTAAGGGGTGGTTTATGCCGTAATCAATCACTGCCTGCTGCCAGGCAGGCTCCTTTGCTAGGTGGGTTCCAAAGCCATTTTCTGAGTAACTGATGCTCGCTCCCCAGTGCCATCTTGGCACGGCCTTCTCATTCTACCACATTGCTGTGCTCAGTTCACCAACTCTCAGCTCCCTGTCCTCCCACAGGCCTGAGGTCAGTTTTTACTTGTCAATTGTTGTTCTCTCATTGTTTCTCTCAGAGGAAAGCAGCAGTTCTCAGAAACCATGTCTCAGTGACGCTGAGGAAATGAAAGCTCTGTTAAGGAGCACAGTATTTACTGCTAGTGATTTTTCTTTGTGTGTTTCCAGCCTAGAGTCTTTGAGGAGAAAGTTTCATTTTGTATTATTAACATTTATTACTTTTTTATTTTATTTTGTTTTTTATTTATTTGAAAGGCAGAGTAACAGAAAGAGAAGGAGAAACAGAGAGAAAAATCTTCCATCTGGTGTTTAACTCCCCAGATGGCCGCAAATGGCTGGGGGTTGGCCAGACTGAAACCAGGAGCCAGGAGCTTCCTCCAGGTCTCCCAAGTGGGGCATGGGCATAGGCACTTGGCCGTCTTCCACTGCTTTCCCAGGCATGTTTGCAGAGAGCTGGATCAGAAATGGAGCAGCTGGGACTCGAATCGGTGCCCATATGAGATGCTGATGCTGCAGCTGATGCTGTGTAACCTGTTACGCCACAGTACCAGCCCTCAACATTTATTACTTTATTTTAAAAAAATATTTATTTATTTATTTGAAAGAGTGATATAGAGAGGGAGGAGAGAGACATAGATCTTCCATGTGCTAGTTCATTCCCCCAAAGGCCACAATGGCTGGGGCAGGTCTAGGCCAAAGCCAGGAACTCCATCCGGGTCTCTTATGTGGGTGACAGGAATCCAAGCACTTTGACCATCATCCCGGCATATTAGCAGATTACTGGAATGGAGGGGGGCAGCTGAGACGGAAAGGCGCTCTGGTATGGGATGCTGGTGGTGCAAACAGTGGCTTAACCCACTGTGCTACAACACCAGCACCTCTTACAGTTTTTTTTTTTTTTAACTTTCATATAAGAGACACCTTTTTTAAATTTTAAATGAGTATTTTTATCATTTTTACCTTTGATTTTGAAATAATGTCAGAAAAGATGTATGAAAATAGCAGAGTTCCTGGGTACCCTTTGCCAGCTTTCTGAAATGTTAAAGTCTTACTTAATTTTATTATAACTATCAGAATTAGTTTAACAGTGAAACAATGCTATGAGCTAGTAACTGGTAAACTTTCAGATTTTACTCTTTGTTCCACTAATAGCCCTTTTCTGGTTTAGGATGCTGTGTTGCATTTCTGTGTTGTGTGTCCTTTGCTTCCAGTCTGAGTCTGAGACAGATAGTCTCTCAGTCTTTTTTTTTGCCTTTTTTTTTATTAAGGCTTTGGGGGACCAAGCCTTTCTTTTTTTATTTATTTTTATTTATTTATTTTTTTTGACAGGCGGAGTTAGACAGAGAGAGAGAGAGAGACAGAGAGAAAGGTCTTCCTTTTCCATTGGTTCACCCCCCAAGTGGCCGCTACGGCTGGCGCGTTGCGGCCCTTGCGCTGCGCTGAACCGAGGCTAGGAGCTAGGTGCTTTCTCCTGGTCTCTCATGCGGGTACGGGGCCCAAGGACCTGGGCCATCCTCCACTGCCTTCCCGGGCCACAGCATTGAGCTGGCTGGGAAGAGGGGCAACCGGGACAGAATCCGGTGCCCCGACCAGGACTAGAACCCGGGGTGCTGACACCGCAGGCGGAGGATTAGCCTAGTGAGCTGCAGCACTGGCCATGCCTTTTTTTTTTAAATTTAATAAATGACACGCCGGCACACCGGGCTCACTAGGCTAATCCTCTGCCTTACGGCACCCTGCACCCTATGGGAGACCAGGAGAAGCACCTGGCTCCTGCCTTTGGATCAGCGGGATGCGCTGGCCGCAACACGCAGGCCACGGCAGCCATTGGAGGGTGAAGCAACAGCAAAAGGAAGACCTTTCTCTCGGTCTCTCTCTCTCACTGTCCACTCTGCCTGTCAAAAAATAAAAAATAAAAATTTATTAAATGACAAGTAGAGAGGAGAGGAACAGACGCACAGAGAGAGCTCCCATTGGATGGTTTACTTCCCAAGTGCATGAAACAGCTGGGGCTGGGCTAGGCCAAAGCCAGGAGCTAAGAACTCAATCCATGTCTCCCAGGTGGGTGGTGGGGACCCAACTACTTTAGCCATCACCATTGACTCCTATGACCCCTAGGGTACACATTAGCAGGAAGCTGCAATCAGAGATGGAGCCAGGACTAAAAAAACCAGATACTCTGATTTGGGATTCTGGTTTTTTAACCACTAAGCCAAGTGGTTGCCACCTCCTTCATCATGATGCTTGTTTTTTTACTTTAAATATTTATTTGAAAGGTAGAGTGACAGGTTGAGGGAAAGGAAGAGACATTTTTCCATCTTCTGCTTCACTTCTCAGATGGCCACAATAGGCAAGACTGGTCCTGGCCAAAGCTGGGAGACAGAAACTCCATCTAGGTCTTTCATGTGGGTGGTGGAGGCCCAAGTATTTGGACATCTTCTGTTGCCTTCCCAAGTACATTAGCAGGAGGCTGGATTGGAAGTAGAGCAGCAGGAACTGGAACCAGCGCTCATACGGGATTCCAGGGTCACAGCAGCAACTTAACCTGCTGTGCTACAACACAGGCCCCAATTTTCTTTTAAAGATTTATTTATTTTTTAAAAAGATTTATTTATTTATTTGAAAGAGTAACTTAAAGGGAGAGTCAGAGAGGGAGGTCTTCCATCTACTTGTTTACTCTTCCAATGCCTGCAGCCGCCTACTTGTTTATTTTTCTAATGCCTGCAGCCGCCAGGCCAAAGCTAGGAGCCAGGAACTCCATTTGGGTCTCTTAAATGTGTGGTAGGAACCAAGAACGTCAGCCATCCCTTGCTGCTTCCTATATTGTGTACTAACAGGTAGCTGGATTGGAAGCTTGGCGCAGCTGGGACTCAGATTGGCAGCTGGGCATGTGGACATCCCAACAGTGGCTTTATCTGTTGTGCCACAATGGCTCAATGCTCCTGTGACACTTTTTAAAAACTAGCTAGTTATTTTGTAGAGATCATGTTAGTTTGGTTTGTGGATATTTCCTCATGATTAAATTCACATCATTTTGGGGCCGGCGCTGTGGCACAGCGGGTTAAAGCCCTGGCCTGAAGTGCTTGCATCCCATATGGGTGCTGGTTCTAGTCCCGGCTGCTCCTCTTCCGATCCAGCTCTCTGCTATGGTCTGGGAAAGTGGTGGAGGATGGTCCACGTCCTTGGGCCCCTGCACCCACGTGGGACACCTGGAAGAAGCTCCTGGCTCCTGGCTTCAGATCAGCGCAGCTCCGGCTGTTGTGGTCATTTGGGGAGTGAACCAGCGCATGGAAGACCTCTCTCTCTGTCTCTACCTCTCTCTGTAACTCTGTCTTACAAATAAATAAAAAATAAATCTTAAAAAAAATAACTAAATAAAAATTCACATCATTTCTTTTGGCAAAGAATGCTGTAGAAGTGATGACGTTTTCTGTTCAGTGCTTTACTTGAGGGCCCCTCGTGGTGATATTTGACACAGCTCTTAACAGACGATGCTAACTTTATGTCTTAATTACGGTTATGCCTGCCAGGTTCCTTCCTGATAGAAAGTTTGGTTTTCCTTTTGTAGTTAACAAACACAATATGTAGACTTAGAATTCTGCAAAAATCTCATTTCTCATCGTATTTTCTTCCATCAGTTTTAGCTTTCATTTCTTGCCTGAATAATTATTACGGTTGTGTTCACCAAGTGATGACTTTTTATTTCTATCATTCTAGCCACATAAATTAATTGGCATGCTACTGTAAGGAAAAGCTATTGCTTCTCTCCAGTTTATTCAGTTATTATACTGTGGTCTCATACTGGACTCAGTGTGGCATTCCTTTTCTTCTGTTGGTTTTACTCCATCATATCAATGTTTATTTTGTTGCTGAAATACATAGATTTGGCCGTTGAGAGCTCCTTTGAGTTGGCTTGTATATCCTTTTAGTGTGCCTCAGTTGTTTTTGAAGACCTCCTTACTTCCTGGAACCAAGATTTTCCAGGTTTATTTTGTCCTTTCCTGGCTGTGGCCTTGGAATCAACCATTTGTTTAAGAAGCTCTGATTCTTTTTTGTGAAGAATGGTGTTAAGAAGACAAGATCTGGCCGGTGCCGTGGCTCACTAGGCTAATCCTCCGCCTGTGGCGCTGGCACCCCGGGTTCTAGTCCCGATCGGGGCACCGGATTCTGTCCCCGTTGCCCCTCTTCCAGGCCAGCTCTCTGCTATGGCCAGGGAGTGCAGTGGAGGATGGCCCAAGCGCTTGGGCCCTGCACCTACATGGGAGACCAGGAGAAGCACCTGGCTCCTGGCTTCGGATCAGTGTGGTGCGCCGGCCGCGGCGGCCATTGGAGGGTGAACCAACGGCAAAAGGAAGACCTTTCTCTCTGTCTCTCTCTCTCTCACTGTCCACTCTGCCTGTCAAAAAGAAAAAAAAAAGACAAAAAAAAAAACCAAGATCTGAGTTCTATGTGTGCTTGTCTCAAATGTTAGCACCCACAAGGTCCATTTACTTGGGGTGTCGACAAGTAATCAGTCTCAAGCAACAACTGCTAAAGGAAAGCTCTGTTTAGTTGTGACAAGTAAAGGAGACGGTGGGAAGGTACGGTTTCCTAGAGACACTGCCTCCTGGAGAAGCCGTCTGCCAGAGCTGCTGTAGCGAGGGCTGTGGGAGCAGTAGTGGAAGCAGCAGAGACCTTCCTTCATTGTGTCCCGAGACCTGACCTGGACTGAGCCCTTGCAGCTTGTGTTTGGTGCACGATAAGCTTTTCTGATACATGCTCTCACAAACAAACCAGGCAGTAAATTCTTTGAGATTCCCTGCCTTGTTCTGTTTCTTTTTTTAAATTTTTTAAAAGATTTTTATTTATTTTTATTTATTTTAGAGGTAGAGTTACAGACAGAGAAAGGGAGAGACAGAGAGAAAGGTCTTCCTTCCCTTGGTTCACTCCCCAGATGGCTGCAATGGCTGGAGCTGTGCCGATCTGAAGCCAGGAGCCAGGAGCTTCTTCCAGGTCTCCCGTGCGGGTGCAGGGACCCAGGGGCTTGGGCCATCCTCCACTGCTTTCCCAGGCCATTAGCAGAGAGCTGGACTGGAAGAGGAGCAGCTGGGACCAGAACCGGTGCCCACATGGGATGCCGGTGCTGCAGGCCGAGGATTAACGTACCGCACCGTGGCGCTGGCCCCTGCCTTGTTCTATTTTTTTTTTTTTTTAATTTTTTTTGACAGGCAGAGTGGACAGTGCGAGAGAGAGACAGAGAGAAAGGTCTTCCTTTGCCGTTGGTTCACCCTCCAATGGCCGCCGCGGCCAGCGCGCTGCGGCCGGCACACCGCGCTGATCCGATGGCAGGAGCCAGGAGCCAGGTGCTTTTCCTGGTCTCCCATGGGGTGCAGGGCCCAAGCACCTGGGCCATCCTCCACTGCACTCCCTGGCCACAGCAGAGGGCTGGCCTGGAAGAGGGGCAACCGGGACAGAATCTGGCGCCCCAACCGGGACTAGAACCCGGTGTGCCGGCGCCGCTAGGCGGAGGATTAGCCTAGTGAGCCGCGGCGCCGGCCGCTGCCTTGTTCTAATACTCCCTTTTTGCAACAGTTCTGCACTCATGGTTATATTGCTGGGGTGTCTTTGTTTCTAAGCTATTTGAATAGACAGAGCTAGTAAATACATATTCACATACGTGTTATCTATTTCTTTGTTTATTTGCATGAATATAAAAGCAATGAGTTTACACTGATACTTTTAATTCTAAGCCAATAACGGAATTCATTTTAGCTTTCCCACTTTTCTTATTTTGAACTCCTTTTAATGATAGAAACATGGCTGTCTTAATAATACTTATTTGGACATTACTTAAATACAAACTAATTTCAAAATTTCTAGCCCACACCCCTGTAAAAAACAAATTTACTAACAAGTAAAATATTTGTGTATAGTTTTTTGTTTTTTGTCTTTATTTTTAATGTTTATGGGAGTGAGTATTGTAGTGCAATGGATTAAAACGCTGCTTGTGACACCCACATCCCATATTGAAGTGACTGGGATTGAGTCTTGCCTCTGCCTCTGCCTCCCACCCAGCTTCCTGCTAATGTGCCTGGGAGGTAGGAGATGTTGGCTTAGGTAATGAGTCCCTGCCACCCATGCGGAGACATGAATGGAGTTCCTGATTACCTGGCTTTGCCTGGTGCATCCTAGGCAGACCTCATCCTCATGAGGTCTCAGGCATGTACAGAATGAACCAGTGACAAAAGACCTGTCTCTTTGTCACTTTGCATTTCAAATAAATAAAAAATGAAATAAACATTAAAAAATTGCTCATGTGAAAACAAAATTGTTTAACATATTTACTTGAAAGGCAGAGAGGCAGAAAGAAATGAGCATGAGGACACTTCAGTTCATTGGAGTACTTCGATCCAGTGGTTCACTCCCTAAATGCCTGCAATAGCTGGAACTGGGCCTGGCTGAATCCAGGAGCCAGAAACCTCATCTGGTCTCCGTTATAGGTGGTAGGGACTCAAGTCCTTGAGCCATCATCTGATGCTTCTCAGGATATGCATTAGCAGGGAGCTGGTTCTGGGACTTGAACCTGGCACTCCAATATGGAATGTGGACATTCCAAGTGGTGATTTAACCTGCTGTCCTCTCCCATGGAAGTTTAATACCATAGATGTATTTTCATCTGTTTACATCCTACATAAAATTATGTTAAGAATGACTAGACATTTTTAACTGTAAGCTGAGGAAAGCTATTAATGAGAACCTGAACACATGTTTACATAAAAGTGAACTTAAGGGGCATGACAGAAACTTGCTCCAGTTAGCCTCCTGGAGGCTGGAAGTCCAAGGCCAGTGCCTCAGCAGGGCTGGTTTCTGCTGAGGCCTCTCCCTGCTCACAAACGGCTGCCTTCACTGTGTTCTCTCCCATGGTGTCTCTTCCTGCTCTTGCAAGTTTGGGGCCCACCCTTATGACCCTGTCTAACCTTAATTACCTCCCAGAGGCCATGTCTCCAGATGCAGTCACAGTGGCTGTGAAGGTACCAGTGAACATCGGTGCAGATATTCAGTCCATGTTAGGCATCCACAGTAGGAGGGCAGGTGTGGTGGTTCTGAAAGTTGTGTTTAGAGAAAGGTATTGAAGTTTGACTTGAGAGGAGGCAGGAACGGGATGAAAGGATCTTTGAGTTTTGAGAGTGTAAGTAAAATAATTACTTTTTTCTTTTAAAGGACAGAATATATTTGCCTGTGGATCAGAATCAGCTTGAAATTAAGAATGCCCAGGCCAGAATAACTGAATTGGAAGCAAAACTTCTGAGTAGGCAAGAAACTATTGATAGACTTGGTCTGGAAGTGAAGGACCTGCAGGATCAACTGGCACAGCGTTCTGGATCTGTTCCTTGCCAGCAGGTTTGTTGTTAACTCACAGATATCTGATTTATTCAGAGAAAATGTTGATTTTTCAAGTAAAATGTGAAGGCTGGGATCACCTTCTGAGTTACATGGTTTGTTTGGGTATGTCTGAGTTTGTACTTTTCCCTCCTCTTGCTAGTAGTGATTATGCCATTTTATTTATTAAAGTTTTTTTTATTTGACAGTTAGAGTTAGACAGTGAGAGAGAGAGACAGAGAAAAAGGTTTTCC